GTTGAGACCAGAATAGAAGCGCAGTGTGACCTGTGTTTCCATCTAGTTAGATGGGCTTTGGGGTCTCACGAGATTACCAAGGGAATCCTAATTATGAGCCAAACAAACTCGCTGGCTCCTATCTGGTGGACTTCCTTTTAGCTGAGGATATGTTTAAGATTAAGACTCATGAAATACTGAAGTGTCCATCAAGATTGATGCAGGTACTTCAGCTGTGACCAAAGCCCACCACCTGACTGTGCAGGCTTAAGGAAGCTCCTGTTTGGAAAGTGGGATAGGTTTTTATTAGCCCTGCTATACTTCGAACTAAACTTTAGGTTTATTTATTTATTACTGAGAAATGTGTTTGACACAGTACAGACAGCAAATTCTGTAAAAGATGTGTTTCTGTTCTAGATACATTATTTAGGTTAAATGTTGCAAAATATTAGATAGGAGATATATTGGTATTGAGGGAGAAGAGGGAAAGAATGGAAAGGAGTTGATCATCAATAGGTCTAATCAGTGTCTTGAGAAATTTGGAGAGAGAACAAAAGGAGGAATTCACTTGAAAATGTGTGTCTAAATAAGCGAGAAAATTATGTAGGCCTCAGTCTTATTTTAAGTAATTCAAATTTTTTTTCTCTGCATTATTATTAATACTAATGATAAAATAAAATTGAAATTATTGGAGCTGTTTTATCTCATGTTGTTCACTTTACTGGTGGAAAACTTATATTTTGAATTAGACAGAAAAAAATACACAGAGGCAATCTTTGGAAGCTGAGGTACTTCCTCAGTGGAAGGAGGGGCAGATTTTTCTGTAAAAAATTCTAGAGGTCTAATTAAGGGTTATCTTTTGATGATATGAATATCTTGTTAGTTCTGCTTTGTTATTTGTATAAGCAGCTTAGATATGATTTTTTTTTTCTGATAAGTTGCAGTCTGGGAGAGCAAGGAGGAAAGACAACAGTGAAATCAGCATTGGAAAGCTGGTTGAAAGAATTGTCTGCAGGAGGGATTTAGGAAACTGCAGAAAGAAAAGGATTTCAAAAGTCGGCAAAAAACAGAGCTGTTTGAAGCTGAGTACATGTTACCAGCTTCTGTGCTTGGCATCAGGTACCAAAACATCGTTCAAGGTTTGAAATTAAAAATTATGGGGTTTCACTACAGCAGTTTGCCAGGATTTGCCTATGAGATGGGAATTGGGAGTAGAAGAGTGCCTGTGTCAGGAGAGGAGCAGCTTTTGGTATCTAGACCCTGTATTACCTGGTAGGATTTATAAGCACTATCTTGACATTATGATAAGTTCAGGGCTTCACAAGGAATAAAATACACTTAAGCTTCTGACGAAGTAAGAAAAACTGGAATTCTGAGAGATACAGTTGATTTCTTGGATAAAATGTATTGTTCAGAGCTCCATTCCTCCCTCCTCAATACACTGACACTCCAATTCCCATGTCTACTCGGTATTCAGTCTTGCCAGGTTCCTTTTGATCATATCCTGTTCTAGCAAGATGCTTGGTACACAATTTCAACTCCAGGTGTTTTGTGATAGCTGATTGTCAAGCCAATTGTTGGGTCACTTCATAATGTTGGCCAAGGGCTTTATGCACAGAAGCACAAATTGGGATGGGAATGCTATGGAACGCGTTTTGAGCTGCTTTATTATTATTTTTTCCTCCCAAGCATCAGTTTCATTACAAGGTTGGGACAGTGGGAAGATGCCAGCAGCTCACGTCCTCAGCAACAGCCAGAGAACGTGATGTTACAACGCATTTTGAAAGATTTTTGACCAATCACAAAAGCAAAAACATATTGACAGTAGTTCTATCCAACCACTATAAGGACAAGTACCTTTGATTCAAACAATGCTAGCTTTTTTTCAAATACAATACCTACTTGTAAGCCTTAAAATACAATGCACAGAGCTCCATTATTAAGCTTAGACCTTCCTAATATCTTGCTAGATATACTTTTCTGCAGTTTAAAGATTTATTCTAGCCAAGTGTTAATACACAGACCATTGTTCTATTTGTCCTTCTTTTCTATATTTCATATAACTTTTCTGCTGACATGCCTTATGCCTTCCGCTTAGCTCCAGTTGCAGTTTGCTATCTCTGAGGCCTGCTTTTTTGCAGCTTTCCCAAAACCCTCTGATTTTAAGTGATGCCTTGAGGAGCTGGAACAGAGGTCGCACACAGAGTTAAGGGGAACAAACGAGTATTTATTGTGAGGCCCACGAAAGGCCTACAAAAGCCACACCCCAGCAATACAAGTGCCACAGTCGTGGCCCCTGCCCGGATGGCTCCAAGATGGAAGGCAAGGAGGGGTTGGTCACGAGTTCTCACACCTTTATAGGTTTCAGTCCATTTGCATGCAGGAGTCAGCTGTCCAATTAATAGTCTCAAATAGGGAAGTTTTATCCTCCTGCTTGCTTGTGTGTCCGCCCTCCTCTTTTCACGTTGTTTATGCTTAGGGCTTGAAGTTTAAAGATACTGTCCTTGAGTCCCTAGGTAGAATCGGACTGTTTTGTCTTCATCACCCAAGCACAACGGAAAAGCACATCCAAGCAGAACAGAACAGAAAACTTAAACTTAGAGGTATCATAAGGATTCCCACAACTTGTTCTCATAGTCTTTCTAATGTGTTTTCATTGACAAATTTTCTTTGTAAGAGCTTTACAAAATGATAATATTGTGCATAACTTGACATGTCATTAAGCATCATAACATCTTTCATCATACAAGTCCTGAAGTCCATTGCTAAGCTCAGAAACCAGGGCAACTCCTAAGAGTTCAATGACTTTCGTAAGGAACAATAGGTGGTAGGAAAGCAGCAATGTTTGTAAGGAGTAACTTTTGTCTCTTACTTGTCTTCTGCTTCTTTTTTAAAATGAGATTGAAAACAGCAGCAACAGTAAGGAGACTGATCAGCTAAACTGATTATTGATTAGTTCCTAATGTGATAAAACTATATTTTCTCTGCTGCTGCAGTATTTTAATCATGTTTGTAGCTTTTCAAACTGAACAGGTCTTGGTTTTAACAACAGACTGATTTAAATGCTTTGGTATTATGATTTTGTCATGTGTGTTGTGTGTTCTGCCCTCTCCCCTGGGCACTTCCCCCATTTTTGAAAATATGCTTCTACTTTTCATAATGTCAAGAAAATGAGAGTTTCCAGACTGGAAGCTTACTGCATCTCAATATTTGATCTGCAATTGCCCAAAGGTTAAACACTACAAGGGATGAGTGGTTAAACTGCTCACAAGTGCCTTGTAACTAATTGCTCCTTCATCTCTGTTCTGTATGTGTTTTGCAAAATAATCTTATCCACAATTAGTATTTATTTATTGTTTGCAAGACATACTTGCAAACAAATGGCTGTATTGTGCATACAGATAGATTGCAATGTGTAGCATTTAGCACTGTAAAGAAACTTCCAATTTCTGAAAGCAGTTAACTGCTGTGGACATAACATTTACTTTTAAAACAAGACTGTTTTTTCTATTCAGAGACAGGAATACTCATTTTCGTGTCACAGCATCATATTGCTCCTTGAAAGTGAGAAGAATGTATTACCTGTAAGCAAAGCTAATACAGACTTGACATTTAAGCAAGAGCAGGAAAGCTGGGGTTCCCTGTAAGCCTTCCTTTGGTTTTTGTTTTCTTTTCATTTCAACAACTTTTTGCAAGTATTTTCCTATTTTGTAAAGTTTTACTGTGAGGAGAACATTAGCATTCAAGAAGTCAGGTATGTCTTGAACTTGATGTCAGGATCATGATGTGCCTCCAAACTGTTTTAGTTTCTGGGGAGGCAGCAGTTATTTCTAAAGACATTGTGTGCCTGATGTGAAACTCTGTGCTTATCCAGTAGTGGAAATACTGTCTCTGAGTATCAGTCAACTTGTTGACCCAAACTTTGCAGTAGGAAGAGTGGATGAATAGTGTTTGTGGAAGAAGACGTGCTTGCATCAAAGTCACAGTGTCTTTGCTTGGTTGGAACAAGACGTGGTTCCATCTTGAATGGGTTTTCCCCGTGTGAACCCAGGACTGTCAACTGATGCAAAATTGGTCAGTTTATGATGAGATTCTTATGCAGAAAGTGGAAAATGTGTTTGAGCTTGACTGTTCTGAGACTGGATAGTAATCACAGTATTTTGGGTAATACAGGCTTCTTATTAAGGTTTTAAAAATTTGTTGGTGGAATAGCTGTTATTTCAGCTGCATCACTGATCAAAGGAAGGATACTTTGGCTGTGAAAAACTTGTACTGAACTCTTAGTGCTGGGTTTTGCATGCCTGCAGCTCTTAGTGCAAATCTGTTTTCTACAGGGCAGGTGGAACAGATGGTTTGAGGTAGGCTTCTAGAGGGCAGGGGATTATATTGTGCAGTACTAGAGGGATGTATTTAATGTGCATCACTGTATCACTGTGGTACAAGCAACCTTGACTTGCTTGTCAGAGACAAAGTCTTTCTTTTGTATTTCTGTCATAGCACTTCTAATATATGCCATTTGAACAGACTGCCTGTAGCAGTAACAGCTTTGTAGATTTATAGCAGGTATTTTGTTTGTGCAAAGACTTGTAACTTGACAGAATGCACACTCTTAGCCAACAGATTCATTATTTATAGCAGAGATGCTGACAGGTAGAAAAGCAAATGGGGGTCTTATATTTCAGCTGGGAGGCATATCTGTTATCAACTTCATCCATGTAGTAGTCTCTTTAAAGAAGTATGTTATGTCTGGTGGTGAAATATGCTCATGGCAACATTGGTTCTTATTCACATAGTTCTGCAGAAAATGCTTGCTATGTCATGTCAGAGAATTAAGCAAGTATGCCTGTGTATATGCTTGTATCTCTGGAAGACAGTCAGATATTTTAATTCAGTCAGGACTTGCAACGCTGCTGGACTCTGGTTCTGTATATCTTGAATCATATTGTGAGATACAGATGGGGGCTTCTGTGCTTTGCTAATCTGTTCACTGTTTTCTTTTTTTGGTTTTGCTTTTTTCTTAGGGTAATAAATGCAGGGAAGAGCACACACAATGAAGATCAAGCCAGCTGTGATGTCCTCTTTGTCAAGAAAAAAGCTGGAGGCAGTAATTCTACACCAAACAAGAACTCTTCAACAAAACGGAGGTCATCGCTGCCCAATGGAGAAGGTCTCCAGCTGAAAGACAATTCAGTAAGCAAACTCCTGTGGAGAAATACAAAATAATATAAAATGATGTAAGAATATGGCACTAAAAGGTGTTTTCTGAATATTTAATATCTTTTCAGTTACCTCTTACTGATTCTCTCTGCTTAAATGCAGAACATTTCACTATATTTTTCTTAGCTCTTCTGCTTAATTTTTGCATTGAAAAATGCTCCTTGCACCTATGATATTTTAGTTTCAAGATGGGCAAGGAGGTGCTCCTGGATTTTTCTTTTTGTTTCATTTCTGAAATATAACGTTGAGAAATTTGAAGATGAAGAAAGGGCTGGAGTATGTCTGCTGTGAAGACAGGCTGTCAGGTGGGGCCGTTCAGCCCAAAGAAGGGAGGCCTCCAGGGAGTCCTTAGATTGGCCATCCAGTACCTAATTGGAGAGGGGCTTTCACAAGGACCTGTAGTGACAGGAGAGGGAGTAAGGACTTCGAGCTAATAGAGGGCTTAGATTAGATATTAGGCAGAAATTCTTCATTGTGAGGATGGTGAGGCACTGAAACAGGTTGCCCAGAGAAGTTTGGCCAGGTTGGATGAGACTTTGAGCAGCCTGGTTTAGTGGAACGTGTTCCTGCCCATGGTAGAGGGTTGAAACCAGATCATCTTTAAGGTCTCTTTCATCCCAAACCATTCTATGGTTCTGTAATTTATACAGATGCCTCATGGTGCCACAAAAACACAGGTCAACCTCCATCTGCTCTTTCTCAGTTTCTGCACTGTCTTGAGGACACATTTGCACATGGAGCTCTGTGGACACTGCATTGGCAGCTGTTCTAGCTGTGCCTACACAGAGATCAGGTAAAGACCTATATGAACTATAGGCTGTTAAAACGTGTCTTATATCTGAGCCACTAAACCACGTCTTCAGACAATGTTGGAAAGATACTGTGTTCTCTAATTTAATCAACTACTAAAGCAAGATAATCTTCTGATTTATGCAGGTAGAGTAAGGTCATCCAGCACATGGAATTCAGTGATAGCTTCTCTCATTTGTGTGAAGTATGTCGTACACTTGTCTGCTGACAATTGTCCACTGTTTTTCATCTATCTTGTTTCCTGACCAGCTAATTACTTTATCTGCTCTTCAGGCATGAGCTCAGCCTCCAGCAGGGATTGATAATGTGTGTTGAATTCCAGCATTTCACCGTGTAATACTAAATGCCCTGTCTGAATGTTGGAGTTAGACAACTTAGATATGCTGCATTCCTGCTGCTAGAGAATGCAGGTTGTCACTAAGTGATAATTAGTTTTTCAGTGAAATGTAAGTAGCCTTTTTTGGTAGTTTTGGGGTTTTTTTGTTTTGGTTTTGGCATTTGGTTTGTTGTATGTTTTGCTTTTTGTTTGGTTTGGGTTTTTTTGTTAGTTGGGGTGTGTATGTGCATTTTAAATCAGGTTGTGATTAGCGGTCTGCTTTAGTCTCTCTCCCAAAATTCTATGGCTTGGTACACCTGATGGCTGCAGGGCTCATTGGGGTCCTGAGAAACAAGCACTCCTCTTGCATTGTGTCCCTCCCACCCTTTTGCTCCTCCAGTTCTTCATACTGAAGTGTTTCATACTTCATTATTGCTGCAACATTTTCAAACTGACAGATTCTCAGGGTTTGCAAATTGCCCTTGTTCTTTCCTCTTTAAAATATTTCTTTAAATCGTGTTTCCATTCCTGTGTGCCAGTATTCCTCATTGCATTCAGACAGTCATGATTTCTTTTTTCAAGTACATTTTTGCAAACTCCTGGACAAAGAATTGTGCCCAGAACTTGCTGGGGCTAGGAGTTCTACAGACAGTCATGCCAAGCAAAACAGGATTTGTTTTAATTAGCTGTGGTTTTTAGTCTTTCCTAGAAAGTCCGTGCAACTGCCTGCTGTTGGTTCAGGAAGGTGCTTGGTTTCAGGAGTGTATTTAACTTTTGTATGCATTTTTGTATTTAATGTAGCAAGCATTTCGCCAGAGTACTTGTATATAGAAAACACAAGACAACCGCCAGTGTCCTTGGTCCATGTGATGGGTTTGTTTGACACTAAGACTATCACTGTGCCATGCACACAGGCACACTGCAAAGGCCCCTGTGCACACAGCAGCTTGGGTACACACATCTTGATGCTGTGCAGAGATACAAGATTTGGACTCATACCACATTAAAGTTCCAGACCTACCATATGAGATACATGGTCAGTGGCCTCTGCGTCACGGATGTGGGTGAATGTCACTGTGCTGAATTTGCCTGTTTTTGCATATTTTTGGGGCTTGCATGGGACATAAAAATCTTTGAAGCATTGTTTCACAAAGCCTGATTAACTTCTAGTATCAAAAGCTTCTCAGGAGCAAAAGCCATGGTTAATCACCTTCTTCAGAAGGAACTTTTTTCAAACATTACATAGTTAGTAAGATAAGATTGCATTAAAAATACAAGGATCTAACATAGTTTTGTTACTGGAAAAGCATTTTAACTAACCTTGACGTTATCCATTGTTACAGTTATTGTACTGTTATGGTAATGTAATGGTAGGGTAAATAAATGCATGTTTTTAAAAGCTGTTCTTTTTATCCATTTGATATTTCATGATTGTCACTAAATATATCCTCAGTAAATACCTACTTACACAGAGTTTATGAGAAGTATCTCATGGAACGTTCTGATTTTTCTTTCTCTCTTCGCTAGTGTATTTCCTAGTTTGATTCTGTATCTTTCGTCTTGATTTTGGAAGAAACAGCCACTCCCGTTCAAGTTTGAGAGAAACACTTTTATTTCAAATCTTCTGTTCATAAATTCTATTTCTAACATATTTTGACCAGAAAGGACCATAACATCTTAAGTCAGGAGCCAGCTGATCCATATAATAGAGTGTACTGTTTTCTAGTTACTTGTCATCTTGTTCTTTATCTGTTCTCTTCTTATCTATAGATTTACTTCTGTTTTCTGCATGACACTGGAATAAGTGCTGTCACATTCATTATTTAGTTGTGGAAAACCTATTCTACCATATTATTAGACCACAGCTTGTGTATTTAAATTTGTAATATATTTTCCCCAAACAGGCAGCATATTCCTGGAGAAAGTTTTCTACTAGAGGGCAGTCTTACACTAGCAGTTAGTAGGAATTTTTCCCTGCTACATCTTTTGTTGGTTGAATATATCTAAAAAGGGGGAGGAAAAAAGTACATTTCTATATTGCATCTTTTTTTTTTCTTATTTTTATACTGTGAGGTACAATACTCCTCACACAGCACTGTTGTCAAATATTTTTTAAGGAGTATATGTGTTTGATGTTAAATGTGATGAGGGTGCAAATTAATTTGTATGGATGAGATTTAGAATTACTGGCTTTATACACTACAGTAAACAATAGAATATCATCCCAGGAAATATTTAGTAAGAAAGCCAGAGGCTAAATAGTGTAAATGCTTCATAGGGAAGTCCCACTGCAACACACAATCTGAAATTATCTCTATGTTGTGAAGCACCTTGCAGAAATACTGAAGGAAAAAGGAATGAAGGAAGAAGTTAATTGGAAGGATTTTTTTTAAGGGTAGACCACAAGGGAAATAGGCACTGAAATTTAAACTTTATGTAACAGAGTCCTTTTCATCATCCTCAGATTTTTCTTTTTTTCCACAGACTCTTTGAGAATGGCACATGCCATCTTTGTTTTCTCCTGCTTTTTGGGAAGTTGGTGGAACATCAGCTACATCTGAGACTGAGATTGTTATTTAATGCTAACCCCATCAATCCAGCCCTGTGCTTTGACAAAGCAGCATAAGGGAGTTGGAGATCCACGTGTTGTCCACACACAAGCTGGATGCCACTGTTATGATCTTGACTCTCCATATGGACCTCCAGGAGTGGAAAGGACGAGGTGGTAGGCCAGAAATGCAGAAATGGAGAAGTGAACATTTCTTTAACCCCAACACATAAACAAATCCTGGGAAGTCTATTAAATAGCATACACATGGTTTTCTTCTTGAAAGAGTGGGTAATAAAATGAGCAGAGCAGTGAAAGGAAAGACTTGAAATTCAACCCTAAGTTAATTCTCTCCCTTTCCCCCCATCCCACTCCATTGCTGCTTGATAAATGGTATTTCCTGTCTGACCCCATTCAAGAACATTCACGTTAAATTGCACATCTTTTTCATTTGTACTATTCTTAAATGCCTTTAACTACAGAGTACCTTCATGATGAATGCTGAAAACCATCAGCAAGTGAAATGAAAATCCTGTGCCAGGATATTGTCATAGTGACAATCAGGCTGCAGGACTTAACGTGATGCATTATTAATTGTCATTGTAATGTGAGGATACATAATTACTAATTCTGCAATTTTCTTTGCTGCAGATCTGGGATGGTGTATGTTTTGTATGGAACAAGGCTGGTAGCCTACCACAGGCAGCTGAAGATATTGGTAACGTGAGGAGGCTTTTCTCTGAGGATTAGGGTGGCGATTGCTGGCCCAGTTCAGATTTTATGAGAACTCAAGTTGCACTCTTAAGTGTTTTGTGACCATAGTTCATATCTAATATGATGACAATAGTCAGGGTAGGTTGTAGATCCCAGAGTAAATCTTTAGTGGCAACATGATTTATTTGCTTGTTTGGAATTAACTCCATAAAAACAATCTGAAGGTTTGCAATGTAAGACTGCTGTCTAGCTTACCTGACAAGTGTGTCCCAAATTGATCACTAGGTATTGCTAGAGTTTTTATCTTTTTATTTTTTTCATATAATTGAGCTCAAATTATGTGTGTGTGTATATCTGCAATTTCTCTCATTATTTCTTATCCGTTACTTGACGCAAAACTTTGCGTGTCTTAATTATATTTTACAATTGCAAAACCCAGGAGACTGCTGAACCTTCCTGAAAGCTAGATCAGCAGTTGAGGAGCCTGAAGCTTAGTAAATTTCCTAGTACATTCTGGAAATTCATTGTAAGGTCGGTGCAGTGAAGGGTTTCTTTTCATGTTTCTGGCAGTTATTCAGCCTGTCGTTAGGTCAGAATATTTGAATGAAAATCTAAAATAAATCACTGTGGTGACTTGTGGTTACTGTGCTGCAGAGAGAGAGAAAAGACAGCAACACACACGGACCTCTTTTGGGGAAAAAAGGCCAACTTTATTGTACGGACAACCCGTATTTAAAGTGTGTTACGTGCAGCTAGGACAGGACAGTAGTTCATTGGACAATTGGGAAAAACATCCTTGGGACAGCATGTCCGGATGTCCCACGGGAAAGATACCAGGTGTTAATCTTTATTATGAATTCCGTTCCGTTTTTCACCATGTTATCACTCTGGGAGACTTCCTCCCTGACTGAAGCTGTAGTCAGCTTGTCAGCCTGGGAATGGAGCTGAGAGTCAGGAGAAATCCAGGCCTGAAAAGAATTTCCAAGCTGTAATTCCCTAGCTCTCTAAATGTGTGTGTCCACAGTGACTAACCACACTCTTATTTGAGGATTATGTCCAGATAAAAGAAGAAATGAAGACTGGTGTTTGAAAGACTACTTTTGGCAGAATACTGCCAGTGCTAGTAAAAATAGATGTCTTGTTTTCTGAGTTTGCAGAATGTCAGTTCATTTTGGGAAGAAGTTCAAGCTCTCAAATGTAAGAGAGCAAACAGCAATGCATATGCACACCAAAGCAGGTAATCACTTGGTGGCTGCAGAGGTCATCTCAGCTGTGTGAGGAAAAGCAAGGACCATTTTGCCTCATCTGCTTGCCCTGACTGCTGGCCCTTGTTTGTTCGCTGAGTCACTATTTTAATTGCATCATATTTTTAATTCTCATTGAATTGGTGTGCTTTTGGGGAATTAAGTTCTTTCAAATAGAGAAGCTGTTTTATTCTCACAGCGGGGAAAAAGAGTTTGTTTTTTCTTCCTTTTTTAGACAGCTAATAGGTTATCTGTGGTTTTCCTCTTTGCTAGTTCAAAAGTAAGTGAAACTTTGTAGGAATCCACAGAAGTTTTTCAAGACTAATATTTAGGTTACAGTAATTCCTCCAGATTCCAACTGAAGTTAAGGCCCTAGAGCATCTCACACAGAATGTCTGTGTGAGAGCAGCATTATGGTAGTCATCTCCCCTGAGTGCTTAAAACACAGACTTTACCGTTATCTAGGGTGCTTCTGCTGTTGCTACGGAGAAATAAATCTACTTTGGAATGAGATGAGCATAGTCTGAAAATGCAGCAGTTTTTCTGTCTGACCAACATAAGGGCAATTTAGAGAGCTATCTTGGAGGTGTACAGTGTAGATGTCTGAACTTGGCTGAGCTGGTAGCAATATCCTCTTCGTTCGAGAATTAGTACTCTGAAAAGGACAAGATCAGTGGACCACCATAGTTGATGTGGCTATGCCATAGTGACATGTGTCAGTGAGAGTCTGAGAATACAGCTCAGGTCCATGTGAACTTTGCTGTCCAAATTTGTGCTGCCCATTGGCTTAGAAGAAATAAGTGGTAACATTTCAATTTCCATTTTTTCAGGGGCTATTTTCGTCTTTTTTAATGTGTCCCAGTCTCATCTTTATTTAACTCCTAAACTCACATGAGGCTTGATCAATGTAAGACATATCCAGAGTTGAGATCATAATAATGAGAGTAAATTGTGTTAATAATTGCATTCCTTTACCTTCTGAAAAGCTGTAACACAGACTTTGCTGGGGCGTTTGCTTTGGAGAACTCATGAAAATGGAGTGGGTCAAACTTGTTCTTAATTTTAAGTTTCTGTTCCATTTTGGGGGCAGGGGGAGAACAATGACAAAATATCTTCTTCCTTTTGGTGGAAGATAAAATACTTCAATTTCAATCAGAGTTGAAATACCTTGGGGACTTTTCCCCCCAAAGAGTAGCACCTTTAAAAGACATGAGGATGAAAACTGTGGAAGCATTATCCCTGGTGCATCATAACATGGATTTTGGTCAGGGAGACAACACTTAATTGAAGAATGGGAGCAGAAGGCACAGTGTTGTCATTTTTAATAAATAGTTTCAGTTTTCAGCTGAAATACTTTCACTTTGGAGAACTTGTTTCTGTTGGCAGAATACTTTACATTTTACATGAATAGCGATCTATTTTTACAAGCAAGTTTTTAAATTGCTAATCCTGTTAGCTGTTAAAAATTACTTACGCAGAATTTTGCAGCCAATTGTTGTGTGAACTTGGAGGGATTCTGAGCCCAGAGCAAGGTAGTACAACTGCCAGTTCTGCATTTCAGAAAGAATGTTACTTCTGGGAAAGTTACCCGTGTTTCACCTGCTGCCTCTGTGCCACCAGTCACCTCACTCACAACTGTGTAACAGTGACCATCTCTTTTTCTTCCCTTTCTCCCCCTCTTGCTTCTCCAGGACACAGATGGGATCAACCTGTGCTACTGGTCCCTCTTTGATGGACACGCTGGGTCAGGGGCAGCTGTGGTTGCTTCCAAACTGCTGCAGCACCATATTCTGGAGCAGCTGCAGGAGATTGTGGACATCCTGAGAAACACAGCCATTCTCCCACCCACCTGCCTGGGAGAGGAGCCTGACAACCCATCTACCAACAGCAGGACACTGACACGGGCGGCCTCCCTGCGCGGTGGTGTGGGAGCCCCAGGCTCGCCTAGCACGCCTCCAACACGCTTCTTCACTGAGAAGAAGATCCCACATGAGTGCCTGGTTATTGGGGCCATAGAAAGTGCATTCAAGGAAATGGTATGTATACCTCAGGGCTCTTAAGTCCTTATTATTTACATTGAGTCACATGACCCGGAGACAATAAAGATGTAGATTTCTAATTTTTTTTTTTCCTTTCATTGCTTTAACACTATCTGAGTGTGAACAGAAACGTTTAAGAGCCTCGACAGCTTACCAGGTACAGCCCTGTGAGGCAGGAGCCATATCTTAACTCCCAGGTAGCACTGTGGCAATGGTTATGAACTACTTGAATTTTTGATGTGATACTCTTGTTTTTAATTTTCTTCTCCCCCTCCTTTTATAAGATAAAGATCAGTATTGCCTTAAAGTGGAGATTTCAGCACTGGCAGTTGTTACCAGGCTGAATATATGGGTATGCACTTTATAAAGCCTCCTTGCCCTACCAGTGCAGCAGCAAAGGCTGCTTGGTCCAATGACCCATAGTTCACATTGGTGTTGGAGTAGTGACTGTAGTATCTGCAGCTCTTCACTGAGGCAGATTTTGTGGGTGAGTGGGGCATGAAGTTCATTCCTACTGCCCACTTGACTTGTGTACAACCTGAATAACTGTCAGGAAATCATGACCCTATGGGAATAGAATATCCATCTATTTCCCTATGTAAGCTGATTTTTTTCTCTTCTGTAATTGATGTACTTCCTCTTCCTCCTTCACTTCTCCACATTACTGAAAGACATTCTTGTCATACAGAGCAAAGGTTTGGCCTGCTAGCAAGTACATGTGGATCAGGTCTTGGGAGGTCTGATGCTATTCTTTTTTTTTTTTTTTTTTTTTAATTTTGTTGCTGTAGTTTTCAGAACAGCCTCTTATTTGAAAAGGACTGTGAACTATTCAGTGTATCCCAGGTTTTATTTGTTGTCTGAAAAGAAATATCTGATCATTGTTTTTCCTGATGTATGTGAATTTTGTCCAGAACATGCATTTAATTAGAGATTACAATTGTTATTACTTCACTTTGAGTTCTGAATAGCAATTATCTTTTGCTGGACTGTTCTTTCTTCCCAAGGAAGTGCAGGCAAGCAGGCCCACCAGCTGGGTTTGGACTTCCAGGTGGGCAGGTCCAGGAGCAGCATTCACAGCCATGACTTAGGCATACTTCTGTGGGGGTTGTGCGGGCAGATTTATGCATGGTGGATAGTGGGCTCAGTTTCTGCTAGATGAAAAGAAATAGGAGGCATGAAAATCTGTCAGTTTAGCACACCTTTTCAGAAAGGGAGGACTAGATTGCTCCCTTCTTTGTTGAGAAATGAAGGAGAAGATGACCATGCCCATCCACTGCACCCTAGTGGATTCAGAGCATGCTTAATAGGAACACCAATTTCATGCTTCAGTTGGTGTAATTTTAAGGCCAGAAGAGTGGCAGGCTCTGAGAGTGTGATGTGATTCTCTTCTGTTGAAAATGTCTCCAAGTGCAGGCAAGATGAGAACTGGAGTTTCATGGGACTGGGCAGTAAAAGTAACAGAGTATAGAGGGGCTGTTTCAAGTACTCTACGTCTCTTATGAGAGCAGCTTGTGGGTTACCCATCGCTGCCTTCCTGAATGTGTCTGAGTGAACAGGGCTGTTACTGCACTGCTTTATTTTGACTTCACATCAGGTAGGTGTTCTCACAGAAGACCATCTCAGCTTATGTTCAGAGATCTGGTTCTGAGGGCTTCTGTGGGTAGAGTATGACAAATGTAGAAACCCTGGATAACTCTCTACAGTTATGGTGTTCAGGTATTCCTTGTATAGCTCATACTAATCTGCTCTCTCTGTTTCTAAACTGAGCTAAACAGGACATCTTCCTCCCTGTGCCTTTGTTCATATGCTATCTTAATTCTCACTTGCTTTATATTAGAGGGTAGAAGTTTATAATTGCCTTTGGTAAACAAATGACTACCACAATGCAATATAATTTAAGCATTAAGTTTTACAGGAAATCTTATAAAAATGGTCAGCTTAAGGAAAGCAGTAGATAATTAAATTATATCTACTTTAAGCTCTGAGGGGAATTTTGCACTTATACCTGGTTTAGTCAGAAGAGTGTTTTCTTTCATCTGTGTAAGGGAGCGATTCAAAAAATAAACATTTCTGTGTCTCATCTGTGCTTGCAGTGCTTGGTCTTCCTCCTGCCTCTATTTAATTTCCTGCTAGCTTATACTCCTTTTAGTCTTTGCATGAAGACTTTGGGCCTCTTCCACAGCACATTGTTCAATCAGCCCTTGTTTGTACTGGAATGTCACGGATGTTGTTGAGTTAGGTCAGGGCAGTCGAGATATGCAGTGTGTACAAGGGTTTTGTGCCAGAAGAGTCTATCAGTTTACCTGGCACTTGGTAAAAGCTCCAGTTTCCTGGGCAGGTTGGCAGACTTCTTGGTGGTTTTTCCTGAAACACCAATTGCTGGAAAGGATTCTTGTGAACCAAGTGAAAATAATGAGTAGATAACGATACTGTTTTTTAAAGAGTCCAACCTGACAGGTTTATCTAAGGATGACTTTGTCCCCTTTTTCTGCGAACACTTAGTATACCATGTTTTTTCTTCCCCAACTACTTTTGAATTCTAGTTAAGGTCTCCCTGTTTTTGCCTCGAGTCTCAAATAAAATGCAATTCATAGTCTTCAAAAGGCTTTTAAAAATTATTTTTCTTCTTTTGATGTGGTTTTTTTGGACAGTCCTTGTCCAATATCTACCTGCAGTAAAACGCTGTGGAAAGCTGACATAGATCGTTGTCCTGGGGTACAATGCAAAAATGTGTATTCTATCACCATCTGTTAAAATGTGGGAGGGGTGGTGATCCTTATCTCTGTGGGAGATATCCTCTGCTGATGTGCCATCTGATAAGATCGGGGGATGATCATCGTTATCTATT